TGTCAGGAACAGTATAGCAATTGCGGTTAATCGAACAAATTAATATATTATTTATTTTTACCTGATTTTTTATCCTAAGGGGTAGCAAAACCAATTTATTCCTTAATGAGTGACTATATTGACTACAAGATTGTTTCTTACCTTCCTGCTTTCTCCCAAGGGTGTTTGGGCCAAAACAGTCCCCAGGCTTCCTGAGTTCTTTTTAAAGGTTCCAGCTGCAAGTCATTGAAGGAGAAATTGAATAACCGTACCAGTTTTCATTTGAAATTATATGTTGTAGGCCAAGTGGGGGGAAATGTTATTTAACAGTTGTTGTTATTTTTAAAGTATTCCTTTAATGTTAACAAAGATTAACCCTTTTTTTCAATTCAGTTTTATTTATATAGGGCCAAATAATAACAACAGTCACATCAAGGCACTTTATACTGTAAGGTTAAGACACTACAATAATACAGGGAAAATCCCAGCAATCAAACAAACCCATTTTGGCTTTGATTTGGCAACAGTGGGGAAGAAAATCTTTCTTTTAACAGGAAGGAAGAACCAGGCTCAGGGAGGGGCAGCATCTGCTGTGACCAGTGGGTGAGGATGAGAAAAAAAACCCACTGTGGAAGAAAGTCAGAGAAAAATAATAACTGTTTATTGAATGCAGAGTCACGTATAAACATAATGAGTCAAGAAGAAACAGTGCATCATGGGAAGTCCCCAGCAGTCTAGGCCTATTGCAGCACAACTAATGAAGGATTCAGGGTCACATGTTCCAGCCTTAAAATTTTCAGCCTAATCTTAAAAGTAGAGATGGTGTCTGTCTCCTGAATCTGAAATCTAAAGCCTCTGTCTCCAATTCTACTTTTAAATATTAGATTTTATAGGATCATTAGAGAAGCTGTGTGTTTAGGCTGTTAGTTTAGTTTAGTATGTAACTCCAGACAATGGTGTGGAGTGATTTAAAAGTCTGTAAAGTCTAAAGCAGGCTGATCATTACAGACTGTCGCTGGAACCGTGGCCCACCACTGGGCTCCACAGCGTTATTTTGTGTTGTGTTTTGTGTCAGTGTTGCTTTTATCCAAGACCAGGGTGTCAAAGGTTTTTTGTTTTTTTGGTTCAGGCTACATACAGCTCAGTTTGGTCTCATGAGGGCTGGACCAGTAAATCTATTGTCCAATAACCTTTAAAAACAGCACCTCCAAACCTCTTTTTCTTTTAGAATATATCAATTGAGTACACGCTGCTGAAAGCATTCACATTTAATGAACTATTGATTTATGAATCAATCAGCCTGAACTGCCTCAAGAAAAATATTATCACTCAGTTTTTGTTGACACTATAAAGAAATGCTGATGTAAAAAGAAAGCTGTGAGCTCGGCACTTTGAGCTACAGACTTTGTTCAGTTCATTCAAATTGTGTGACCTGTGGAATCGATATAAAAAATAATGAATCCTGTCATTAATTTATTTATATCAGTGATCAAATGGCGTTGAGCATCACTTTGTAGCTGATGGTTAGTCGATAGTGTGTTCTAGGCTCTGGTTGCCTAGGTAACCTCATCCCGAGCGACTGTGGCTCAGGAGTTTAAGCAAGCTGTCTACATATCAGAAGGTTGGTGGTTCAATCCCTGCCTCCCTGTGCTTGCATGTTGGGCAACACGCTGAAACCCAAACCACAGTGTGCATGTGAACTGCATGAGCTAACCTTCTGGCCTTCATCCTACCTCTGTCTTAGAGGCAGGGTGACGAGCCCAGATCAAAGTATTGATGCTACTCCTCCACAGTAAAGGAAGACAGTCCAGGTGGTTTTGACACCCGACTAGGATGTTTCCTGGGTGTCTCTCTTGGAGGAGACACCCAGGTTCCCCAGGATAAATTGGAGGAAGTGGCTGGGAAGAGGGAGGTTTGGGCTTCTCTGTTCAGGATGTCAGATTGATGACCTGTCCACGTGTTCCCTTCTCGCTCTAAGG